CTATCGGGAAGCGTATACCGTCTGGCTTTCGTTTCACCGTTAACTGCATCGCTTGGCCGTCGGAGTTAGCCTGACCACATGCACGCTTTGCAGAGCGTCAGCGCGTGGCTTCCTTGACGCGGCGCCGCGCCCTTTCCCTAAGGAGAGAGAGAGGGCGCGTGGCCACGCGATGCCGCGCCCTCTCTCTTTATAGGAAGAGGGCACGGCGCCGCTTTGATAAGCAAGCAAAAACACACGGCGCTGACGCACAGCAACGGATACATGTGGTCAGGTTTAGGGTGTTCGAGGAAGCTGTCTATACCGCTGGCTTCTTTATGCTGCAGAACCAGTGATCCACGTATACCTCACAAAGGCCGGTATACGTAGTACCGTCTATTCCACGTGCTCCTTTCTGAGGTTCGCAGTCCCATCGCCGCTGTCATCGCGGTCCAGCTGGCTTTTGTGCAGAAGTCCCCACTGACGCCGAAGTACGTTACCTTGAGGCAGTACTATATACAGTAGGCGACACACTTCACCGATGCTTGGACGGGATCTTTTACCAAAACGCGTATCTTCATTCAAATCTCCTCGTGCTCCGGACAGCGCTAGCGCTAAGGGAACACGGGTGAACAGGGACACGATGTCGAACGAGATGATGGCCTCATCACTGTCACATCTTTCATGCGCTTCACGACGTGGCTGGCGTTGCGCATGTGGGTTGGTGTTTCGACCACGAGCGGCGCCCTAGTCGGTGGTGGAGATACTTGGACAGCGCTCGGAGTAGAGATGATGTAAAATCTTCGGCAGGGCGGAGTGGCACGCGGTGGGCTAAGGGATCTTCTTAGGGAGCCCGTAAGAACCTAGTGTCGAGCCATTTCGACAGACGAGCCATAGAGGCATGCGGTTTTTGTCTCCGAGTGCTCGTTAAAGACGTCCGCCAGGAGCTTGTTCAGTTCCCTTTGGGCTGTTATTGTGGAGTATTTTGTCAGCTTTTCGTGGGATGAACTGTGAAGGAGATCACGCATTTTGTCGTTGTATTCCTCCTTATCGAGCAGGACCACTGCGTTGTATATATATATATATATATATATATATATATATATATATATATATATATATATATATATATATATATATATATATATATATATATATATATATATATATATATATATATATATATATATGTGTGTGTGTGTGTGTGTGTGTGTGTGTGTGTGTGTGTGTGTGTGTGTGTGTGTGTGTGTTGTTTTTGTTTTGTTTTTTTGGAAAGGGGTTACCATCGCAAAGTAACCGGGACAACAACTCCTTACTCCTTACAAGAAAAACGTTTATCAAAAAGATGTTAAACAAAACAAGAAGAATAAAAGGCTTCAATGCCGTAAAAACACCGACATTTATTCACTAACAAATCCAAACCTACGACAGAACGAAAGGTTAGCAAGAATAAAATAAAGGTCCGTTAACCAGAGCAAAATAGAAAGGCACGATTCATCATCCGAAGCACACTTCTTCGCGTTATCTGTATACCATCACTTCGTAAATATGCACGGATATCCTTCTTCCTTGGGACGGCGTTAAGCTCTCCCATAATAGAGTACCCGGTACTCTGAATCGTTACCCCCTTTTTCTAACCCCCCCCCCCTTGTCAGTCGATTTACAAAACCCACCCATTGTACTTTTTCTTGTTGTTCTTCTAAAGTGAAAGCTTTAGCTGCATCATCTAAAGCGAAGGTTGAGCGTCCGCGTCAACTCGAGTAATGTGAAAAATCACAATCCCGTGATGACGTCACTGATTAATGTCACAGATCGGGGAAATTTGTGAAATCATCATGGTGTAGCCGATGATGTCATAGTTGCGTCGCTGGGCGACGTCATCACACGACGGGTGTATTCCAAAACTCACCGTATATAGGCGGCTAAATAGACAGCTAAATGGACGGCGGCCATCTTAAGTATACCATTCAAATTGTCACGTATCTGGTAAAATAGACAGCTCCGAGAAGACCGCCCCTATCGGAAAAATTGCCATGGTGGTACTGGAAAACATGGTGGGCGTAGTGGAAATAATAGCGGGCATGGTGGAATTATGATGGATATGGTGGGACGTAGTGGAAAATATGGTGGATATGCCGGGACATACTGGGTGGTATGGTGTACAGATAATGGGTAAAGTGGAAATGATGGTGGAAAGCAGAGGCTAGATAGTGGGCAATAATGGGACACTCCGCCCACCATTGCGATAATGCTGGGAAGCCCTAAGCATATGGTGGGTGGTGCTTATTATGGTGGGCCGCATGGTGTACCAAGCTGAGAAACTCTTCCCACCATTGCGTTAATGCTGGGAAGCACTAAGCAGATGATGGGCGCTGCTTGTTATGGTGGGCCACAAGGTGTACCAAGCTGAGAAGCTCTGCCCACCATTGCGATAATGCTGGGAAGCAGTAAGCAGAAGATGGGTAGGCTTATAATGGCGGACAATTTATATAGTGTACCAAGCTGGGATCTGCATACTACATGTTCTACCACCATGATTTCCACCAAAGGTTAGGCCTACCGACCGAGCCCGTACAATTGTTTTATCCGTGCTTCCGGGTTTCAGAATACACGATTTCGACGATTAAGAATGACAATACAGCGCAGCCATGGCATCAATTGTCCTAAATGAAGCATTTTTCATTGTGTATGGTGTCCGCAGAGACAAGAAGGACGAGCTGGAGGCAGACGGTTTTTGTCTCTGAGTGCGCGTTAAAGACGTCCGCCAGGAGCTTGTTCAGTTCCCTTTGGGCTGTTGTTGTGGGGTCTTTCGTCAGCTTTTCGTGGGATGAACTGTGAAGGAGATCACGCATTTTGACGTTGCACTCCTCCCTATCAAGCAGGACCACTGCGTTGTATTTGGCGAAGAAGACGCGGCGATGCATCCATGGCATCGCCATGAGGAAGAAACCAAATTTGTCCCCAAACGCCGCGGACTCTCGTCAAACAAGGGCTGGAGCCATCTCAACTTCCTAAAGATATGTTCGTTCTAAAACGATAACTCACTTAAAAAACAGCGCCAATAACGAGGTACAAGAGAAAGAAGGAGACAGACAGCGGCACTGCAGTCTGCATGTGGAGTGCATGTGTCAGCAGGCCTTCGATTGCGCTATCACTAAAAGAAATAGATTTCCTTCGGAACGTTAGCACACGTGTTGTTCAAGGTGCGTTGTGGAGATGACTACGTGGTTGTTAGGTGGATTCTGCTTTGTTTGTTTTGTATTTCTCCAGTGCCGCTGTCTGTCTCCTTCTTTCTATTGTCCCTCGTTATTGGCGCTGTTTTTTTAAGTGAATCATGTCGTACCAACTCGCCCAAGCAACCACGTTAGCTAAAACGATAACGACGTACGCAGACTACGACGGAAGACAAATATTCTGTAATATAGGTTATTTCGATGTACAGATGCGTTAGGCTGTATAGATCTTCGTAGCCATTTCTATAGTCGTTTGAATTCAATGCGGCTGTTCTGTTTCGATCAATTTCTTACGAACGATTCGTCCAGTATCTACACTTTCAAGTACCTCAGAGCTGTGTGGACACTTTTTTTTTTTTGTCCAATCAGCGTCCACGCTTTCGAGGCAGAAATTCTCATGCACTTTAGCCACCCACATTATTTGTTCCATGCATATTGCTAAATTTTCTGAATTCATTTTATTGTGTGCTTCAAACGAAGTCCAGCCCATATCACCCTTCACATCCTGCCTGAATGGTACCTTTCCCCTCCCCCCTCCCTTTTCATGACATCATGACCTTTTGCTAACTTCCAAGCCCAATTAAACGTACTATTGCAAGCACAGAACTGTAATTCGCGAATGTGAGCACGATTGTCATTATTCCTAAATATATTTGCAAAAATCTACAAGGTGGCTTCCCTGCAAGGTTATTTCTCAACCAATTAAGAACTGTCATTAAAAGATTTTTTTTTTTTTGCGATTCTCGAACGACAGGTACACTATGCCATCGCTGATGGTTCGTATGAGGCGGAACAATAAAGTCATCCTGTAGTGTTAGCGAACCTTCACCGGAATAATGAGCCGTAGCAGCACAATGAGCGAGAGAAGCGACCCGTGAACGAGAGTTCTTGATTAAAAAACAACCTTGCAGAAAAGACGCCTTGAAATTTTTTTCGCAAATTATGGAGTGCAGTTAGATTGATTACTAGTGATTAATTGTAGGCGGTCCGTCTGATGTCATCGGGATCATTTTGAAAATGTCTCACTGCGGCGCTTGTGTAAGTAGGGCAATCTCATTGATAATATTGTCGTTTCAGATGTTGTCATACGTTGAGATTTCATTCTGACGTAAATCGTTATTTGACTTTAGTGTCCCTTTAATGCAGCTCCCATAGCCGAAAACCAGGGGAAGTGCGTATAGCGCAGGCAATCCAGCGAATACCCGGATATCACGCGCTTTTCCCGGCGGTGGCACACTCTCGCATGCGGCGCTGGTGTCAACGAGATGTTTCGGAAGCATTTTCTCGCGATTTTATGAAGATTAGGGCGATTATGTTTTGCTAATTACTGTAGATTATGTTATTTTACATCTTGTCGGATTATGTTGTACAGGTTTTGAGCCCTTTCAGCCTTGTTTTATGCCGGTATTAACCACTCCGTTACCGTGTGACATCGTACAGTCGACGGACGACAAGCCGGGAATTTAAAGTGTTCCGCACTTAGAAGCTCTGCGCTTCACGTACTTCAAAAAAAGGCGCGCGCATCACGCTTTTGTCGCCCTCTGGCGACGATCTGCGCAAAGCGGCGGCGGTTCCTCTCCCGCGTCCTTTCTCCCGAGACTTTCTACTAAGCTTTCTCCTTCGTCTCCTGCCACACCTCGCTTCACTCTCTCTCACTTCCTCTACGGAAAGGAAAGTAAAAAATCTCCACTGTTCGCATCCCGGGCGGGGCCTGTGACGTAGGTTTTGACGTCACGGCCGACTGGGGCAGTGTCCGCCGGTTTGCCGCGCGCGACACTCGGCGAAGTCGCAACAACGTCGCGGGCGCGGGGCAGCGCTGCTACGCCACGGAACGGACGGAACGGAGAGTGACTCATCGACGGCTGTCGCAAGCCGCCGAGTGCGACTCACGCAGGGAACAGAACGCTCCCTGCCGTCGTACCGTGCGCCTCGCGCTCTCATGTGCCTCGGATTGATCTCGACCCTTCTCGAACTACTCGCATCGTCGACGTCTACTCCGAAGGATTCACGAAACGCGATCGAACTCCTCCTGCACTGACCGATCGACCGACGACACTTTTTGCAACAGGTAGGGGAGATGTTTCTTGTTACTTCTCTTTCCCCGGATTCCTTTGCACCTCGTTAGAAGAGCCAGCCGAGCGCTCGAAGGCAACAGCGATTTCGCCCGGTGTCGGGAGTGGAAGCCGTGGACAGATCGTTACGGTCGTGTCTCTCGGGCTAGGATTAGTGGTAAATCCTTGAGTCCGAAACCTCTCGATACCATTCTGCACGTTACCGTTTCAGTGGCGATCGTTTCACCTCGCTACAACTTGGAACGATCCCAGTAGGCCGCTCCAAGGCAAACGCTTATTTTGCTGAGCGTCGGAAGTGAAACCGTCGATCAACCGTGATCTCTGGGTGGATCGGTGGTCGTCTCCCGTTTTCGAAGAACTACCGGCCGCGTCTTGTTTCCGCCGTAGTTTTGCAATCGTTTCCGTGCGGCTCCCGAAGTGAGCCGCGATACGCGGGTCTGTGGCGAAAAAAAAAAAGAATAAAAAGCCGCGGTTCGCGCGCGTATGTGTGCATGCGTGATTTGCCGCGTTGGAACGATTGGATTGGATAAACTTTTATTTGATCCTCCAAAACACAGATCACTGTATCGCTCGGGTGCGACTGGCCGACGACGTTTTGTGCCAGAATCGCCGCCGGCGTTTAATTACTTCACAATCGAGTGCCATCTGCGATGATCCATCCATCCGCGACCGCTGACATCATCTAATGCGCCGACGGAAGTTTCAGCCAGTTGTGTGTCTGTAATCACGGCGGCATCGACGCATCTGCATTCATGTGTGTAGTGTGTGGTGCGGATTCTGCAATCGTGTGGGCGCTCTCCTAAAGTGGTCGCGACGAGGTTCAACATAACGTCACCTCAACTAACTCAGCGCCTACAGCGAAGCATACGTATACGTAATTGTCGTTGGCATGTCGAACAACGCATCGACGGACCGCGTCCTTACCTGTTTGGCTTTCGATAACGTGGCAGAATTTTCGGCGCTTCGCTTGTTTAGCGAAGCGCGGAGTCGCCGAGGGTTGGGTAAAGTGCCCGCTGAGCGATGACTACGCAAGACACGGCTGAACGACGCTTTCCGAGGCGAATCAGCGAATCAGCCTGTTGTGTCGCAATGCAGGGCGAGATGTCACAAAAGCGCCGATTGACGACACGACGACGATCGATAAGATCGAGAGAGGATGTCACGTGATAACAACCGTCGCGCGGTCTGTTTAATTACAAAGATACCCGGACGTAGTCGAATCTAGCAATGTGACCGGATGTTTTTAAATTTTTATATTATTACTCACTGGTTGTGTTTTTTTTTCTTTTTTTATGTGGAGATCACGGAAATCAAGATTAACGCGAATGTGAATTTACTTGAGGATTCATTCTTTTTTTTCTCTCACTACAGTTATGTGCACGGACGACGTCTGGATCGGTCTTATTTGTAGTTTAGAAGTACGGCAGCTTGGGCTAGTTGGTATGACATGACGATAGTTATAGCGCGAGAACGAAACGACGACGTCTTCGTGTCCTTCTTGTCTCTGCGTCGTCGTTTTGTTCTCGCGCTATAACTATCATCTTATTGTAATGTTTCGCCGTAGATTTTCTCTCTCTCTCTTTTTTTTTTGTAGCGAGAGCAATGCTTACAAATTTTGTCATATACTCACTCGCTAGTTTATCGATTTTATTCTTGCTATTTGTTGCTACTAAAGTGTAAACAAGTCTCGCCGCGAGACGCTGACACAGTCTGTGGCGTCACACACACACACACAACCACACACACACACACACACACACACACACACACACACACACACTAGATTAAGCAGCACCGAAATCTCGCCGCCAATAACGATCTTCACTATCAGCTGATGAGCTCAACATCCTCCTCATTGGATGAGTCTCACAGAACCATACAAAGCACACTTTTGAAGATTAATCAACATCAACTAGCCCACCTTATAGCTCTTCTACATACTTCGCTGTGGCGTGGCTGCCTGCAGTGCGATATTCTTTTTGTTTTGTTTTTTCACCCGAAGAATTCAATCACGGCCAGCTTCAGATATATGGCCGAATTCGCGTGCACGACACTTCAACCACGATCGTGCTTGTTAATTTAGAAGTGTGGCAGCTTGGGCTAGTTGGTATGGCATGACGATAGTTATAGCGCGTGAACAAAACGACGACACAGAGACAAGAAGGGTCTTTCGTGTCCTTCTTGTCTCTGTGTCGTCGTTTTGTTCACGCGCTATAACTATCGTCGTGCTTGTTAAGTCGAGAAGGTTCACTGTAGAGTATTCTGCTGAGGCGACAAAACGATATCTCCTAAGATGGTTATCAGTGGCCACATTGAAAACGCCGTGTTGGAGTACACCAACGTTGGGAGACGCCAAGTTATCTCTCTAATGACACCTTAACGTTATCAGTGCATCGCGTTCATTTCTTTGGGTACGCGGACGCCAGTTGCGTTTCAGCAGTTGTCGACGTCGCAACGAATCACGGCCTCGTAATTATGGTGTCTTGACGTCATTCATCGAAGCCGCCGGATCGAAGCGCCAGTATACGCTATCACCTGCGTCCGTGGTGTGACTCGCGAGCTGTGAATAAGGACGCTGATGCATTGCGTGCCGCGTTCAAGTGTACGTTCGAAGCGGCCTTGCCGCAGGTTAGGTGCCGCGCAAGCCGCTGGAAACTAGTTTGTTGCTGTTCATGCTATAGTTTGCTACCGTCGACTTCAGGGTCGCGAGTGGGTTACATGCTATAATTACGTCGCAAACCCTTTTGTTAGCACTGGCTATCCCCGTATTGCCGAACTATTAACCGAGAGACCGGCGTTGTGAGAGTGGTTAGCGGTAAGCATGTTTATAAAGTGCCTGTTCGCACGGGCGTGGAAATGTTTTTCCCTTAGGGGGGTGTAGAGTTGAACCCCCCGAAGCGATCCGCTTACTATACGCAACTGTTTCGTAATGTATACACCTTTTGATGAGCACTGTCGACATTTCGTTTCAGTATAGTTGGGAGTGTCAACGGCTGATCGACTAACGCTAATAATAATTGACCGTGTTTAGCGTCCCAAAAACCACCATATGATTACGACAGACGTTGTGTAGTGGAGGGCTCCGCAAACTTCGATCATCTGGTGTTCTTCAACGAGCCCACGGGCCTCACACATTTTCGCCTCCGTCGGCCGGGATTCGATCCCGCGACCTGCGGGTCAGCTTAGCCACTGGACCATTGGGGCGGATAATCAACCAACACGTGCATTCAGTTCTACCTTTACTAACATTTCACTACCCCCCCCCCCCCCACCTCAAGTAACGCAGTCAGAATTGTTTGTTTTTTTTCATGGAGGTTTGGGAGTGTCAACTATACTTCATGTTCGTGCGTACCGTTTGTGCGCAAGCTTGTGCAAAATTGAAATATTTGGGGGTTAAACCCACCCCCGCCTTTCCACTGGCTACGCCAGTGTTCGATGCCTGGAAGTGATGTTTATGTATACGGACATTTCTCGATGTAGCATTGCGTCCGGGCATTACGGTGTCAGAGACGCACTAAACTGAACCACTAAATAAGAGCGATGCCCCGCCGCGATGGTCTATAGTGGCCAAGGTACCCGGCTGCCGACCCGCAGGTCGCGGAATCGAATCCCGGCTGCGGCGGCTGCATTTCCGACGGAGGCGCAAATGCTGTACGCCCGTGTGCTTAGATATGGGCGCACGTTAAGGAACCCCAGGTGGTCTAAATCTCCGGAGTCCTCTACGGCGTCTCTCATAATCATATGGTTAAACCCTCATATCACGTTAAACCCCTCATATCAATCAATCAGTTAAGGGCGATTTCCTTTTGATAATGGGGAAGCTTTAGTGTCGCTGATTTCGCGATCGCATCTTCGTTATTAAAATGGGAAATGAGCTTCAGAGTCTCTTTCGTGTCGAAGCCCGAACGTCACTGCAACGTCACGGACCTCAGTTTCCATTATTTTTTTTTTTACTTGGACTACTTTGTTTCTCCGAGATTCCCTTAAACTCCTAATGTCAAGTCTGTGGCTCGCTTAGAAACAATGTCGCTTCATTTTTTACCGATAAACAAATATCTAGGTCGCCGTGGCATAAGTGCATGACGTCACGATGAGTTGGTGCGGGAAGCTTGTGTCGCCACCTGTTTTTTTTTTTTTTTTTTTCGTTATGCGCATTTTCCGGCATGCCAAGAGTCTCCTTTCTCACTGCCGAGTATGTTCGTTTTTTTGTTGTTTTTTTTCTGTGGAAGGGTATAGTTGCCTAATACGAGCTAAATGGCTTTGCTGCTTAGCGTCCCTGCAATGCTTCGTCGCAAAGATGACTGGTGAAAAAAAAAAGAAGGGAGAAAAAGTTCGCGCGTTTTTTTTTCTATTTTTTTTTCTTTAACTACACGTGACTCATACCCGCATCGCCCTGTGCATGTTCAGCCGCGTTTGCGAGTGGCGAAAGTGTGCGCTCTCTTTGACTCAGCCCTGCATGGCCTGTTATAAACAGTCGGCCTCGGAAAACGGTGCGAAGCGTGCCACTGTATATCTCGCTACTACGTGGCGATTAAATTTTCGGCCGGTTCGTCTTTTTGATAAGCCCCCCCCCCCCCCCCTACCTTTCCCTGAACCGCTCCGATTTCGAAAGAAACCTGCCAGTGCACGTTAAAGAACACAAAGGCGGTCGACGTTTTCGGGAGCCCTTCACTACGGCGGAATCCCTCATAATCATTTGTAGTGGTTTTGGAGCCGCAAAACGCCAGGTATTGAGAGCGCAACACCGCCACCGCGTGAAGGTCTTGATTTCGGACGACGTTTATTCGGCCCGAGAACCCGGTAGTTTAACAGAAAGATTACCGATAGTTTAGGAAAGTGTGGTGCTAAATGTAATGCATACAAATATCTACATAAACGAATTTATTTTCAGAATAGAGCAATAATCGGTAATCTTTCTGTTAAACCTCCATCATTCCAAATATGAACAGTAAATTTTGAAACCACTCGATTCTTGGCCAATCCCCCACAGTGGGTA